TTTGGGACTTGAACCACAGTTGGCCATGTTAGAGTCTAGCACCTTAACCACCATGCCACCTGCTGGACTGTGTTTGCCATACTTCTTAAAATTTTCAGTACACTTACTGCAAGATGACAAACTTTAGCCCAAGTTGTTTCATCTGAATCCAAAGGTACAAAAAACACAATACTGTTCACAGAGTCAGTCACTGAGCTAGGCAGATACCAGATAGTTTTGAGGTTTCAAATTATGGATTATCTGTTCAAAATTTAAGTCAGAGGTTGAGAAAAGAGAACCTTCACCCACATCCTTCCCATTAGATGCCCCAAACATCTTGCCGGGCACTGACTGCCTAATAAAGCACATATTGACGTCAATATGAAGACTTACCTCCTGAGTAAAATCCTGAGAACAGATGAACCTGTCTCACAGCCCTCGTTCATTGAGTAATAAGCAGAAGCTAAAACGCCGGAGCCTATGCAAAATGGGATGAGGGAATACCAAAGCCCATGCTGGAAACTTGGTAAACAGTGACGACATTTGAGAACCACATGTGAGCATAAACTCTGGTGTAGGTTATTAGCTCCTGGTCCATAAAAACAAGAGTGAAGATAAAACAGTAGCCTACTGAGGTTCTTAAAGAGTTGTTACTGATGAAATCTAAAATCTAAAATCAAGAGCTAACTCTTTGGCATAAGGTACCTGGCCATTGCTATTTTTCCTGATCCTTTTTGCTGAGAATTGTTTTCTCTATTCTGCCTATACAAACTTTATTTATGTTGTTTATGTTTGTACTCTCCATGAATACTACAGTATTTGCTATATAAGCACAATGAATAAGCAAATAAATAAACGAAGGTGCTCATCAACCTATCAATCAACGGTTCTAATAGAATTGCGCAACTGATGACAGGAAAACTGAAATCTGAACATTAAAAAATAAAAAAAAAATATCCTGAGCACAGGGACCCTGTAACTTGCACACTCTCTCATCTTCAACACTAAACAATAATATACACCCACAAAACTTCTTCAGGAGTTGAGAAGATGAGAAGTGAAATGTGTTATCTCAAAAGTAAAGTTTCATTCTTTAATATTTATTTTTCCAGAAAACAATAATTTATTTATTTTAATTTTTATTTTTATAAAGCAAAAATTACAGATTTCTTTCAACAGAGAACTTTACATTCTTTTGTCTGTTAAATGTTTCCTCCCTTTTTCCCCCCACTCACCCTCAAAAATGAAGTTAACATAAACAATAAACGCTAGTGCGAAATAACATTTCTCTTTCTAGTAAAAATTAGGAAAAAATATGCTTAGCAAAGGAAGACATAGTAAGAAAAAAAGGAAAGGTTTTTTAAAAGCAATAGGATTACTTTCTGTGTAAGAGAAACATGAGGATTTAAAGAACCACATTCAACAGTGTTTCTCGTCACTTATTCAAAGACTGCGTTACTATTGGGAGAATTAAAATAAACATATTTTTTGAGAATTTTCTAAATGAATGAGAAAAGTATGTTTTCATAATGGCTAAAGTCATAGGTACCTGTGCCTCCTTTTATCCAGTATCATTTTGTAACAAACTGTACTAAGACCTCACAACGGAAAATGTAGATACATTAATAACTCACATTGTTTTTTACATCAAGTATTAGACTAGAGATAATTACCCAAATTCTAAAATTTTTCTGTTTGATACTTGAGGTTCGAAGAGAAGACCATATTTTAAATGCTTGAATGTTTCCAACAAATAATAGCTGAACACCCACTGTGTACCAGGCCCCGTGCCCATGCACCAGGTAAGGAGCAATGAAACAGATGGGATTCCTTATTCCTCTCATGGAGTTTGCTATCTGAATTCATCAAGCAATTATCATATTCACAGCAAAATTTAATATTTTTACATGTCTATTCTAGAGGTTCAGGGATAGATAGAAGGTAAGTTATATTGTTTTATTTTTTTTCTATTATGGTTGTGTTAGGATTTACTTTCAAATGAATCTACATCAGTATAAAATTACATATAAAAGGAGTTCTGTTACCAGGAGACCAGAACCTGAAGGGAAAGGAACGGTCTCTATCCATGATTCGGTTTTTATTACAGAAAGTTTTTTTCTTCCATGAGAGAGACAGCACCCTCAAGAAAGTCTTGTTATCATGATTAATTCTCACACTCAGCCAGCCTTGAACCACAGCACAAATAAGCTCAGTATACTCTAGGAGGTCTCCAGCCATGAACCCCAGAAATATTTCCAGCCTTTACAAACGGAATGTGAGATGACACATTTTTGCTGTCATAGATACCTGAAGCCAAGTGTCTACAAGGATGGGGACCTGATACTGGGTGGGTTTTTCCCTCTTTATACCATGGAAGAAGAAGAAACTGTAAGCCAACTAGATTTTCTGATGAGGCCTACCTCAAGAAGTGACAGCACCTCAGTACCGATGGAGGAACTACCAATTTGTGTTTACCTTTCACTTTGCCATTGAGCAGATCAAGAAGTCTCCATTTCCTCCCCAACCTTTCCCTGGGTTATGATTTCTACAAAGCATTTCCCAGTGACAAAAGAACGTTAGAAAGTGTTCTTTTTATGCTCACTGGAGGAAATCAGTCCCTGCCAAACTACAACTGCCAGACACAGAAACAACCTGCTGCTATCATTGTGGGAAACATGCCAACATTTTCAGCCCAAGTTGGAACCCTATTGGAGCTCTACAAAAGCCCACAGGTCCTTTTGATCCCATTCTAAGTGATAAAGACCAATTTCCCTCAGTTTATCAGATGGCCACCAAGGCCAGCTCTCTGGCTCATGGAATCATCTTTTTGCTGCATTTTGGCTGGACGTGGGTGGCGCTCTGTGTATCTGATGATATGCAAGGGGACCAGTTCCTCCAGAATCTAAAGGAAAAGATGACAGAAAAGGATATCTGTGTGGCCTTTACAGAAAAGCTCTCTGCCACAAAAGGTGTCTTTGTAAGTCATGACTTCAATGTTGTCAAGAGGATCAGAGTTTCATCTGCAAATGTGTCTATCACACATGGTGACCAAGGGAGTGTCCAGAACCTGGCATTTGAACAAAACTTCTATTTAATTTTGGAAAAGACTCCTGAATCTGTGTGTAGCCACAGCGGTGTTCCTGGATTCCAAAAAATTTCCCAAGAAGGAAGACTTGTTTGCTGCTTTATTTGTGTCTTGTGCCCAGAGTCAGACATTTCAAATCAAGCAAGTATGAAATATATAATTACACTATTAGTCCCTACTATTGCTCAGAAAAGATGAAACGGTTACTATTAGAAATAAAACATGGGGGCCAGAAGGTAATTTGATGGTGAAGGCACTGTCCCATGTGGTTGACTGTGGTTTAATTCCCAATCCTGAGACTTGAAAGCATGCAGGTACATGAGCATGTGTGCCCAAGATCTCTATAGCAGAAAGGACAAGAAGAGTCTGATAAGGCCATCTCCTCTGGGAGGTGATCTCTCACTTTCTGTCTTCTGATGAATATACTTGCCCTATAGCAAAACTCACACAGACATACACAAAAAGAAATGAATCAAAGAGCACCACTGTTCTTAATTCAAATACTTATTGTTTTGGTATATTTATTTTATAAACAGTATTACTACAGTATTTTGTGTAAGCTGTTATCTGGCAATGCTCATTGTATTAGGCTCAATTCTGAAATGATTTTCAATGGACACCCTTGCACTTTATTGCTGGAAAGACAGTGTCAATCTTAGATCTTGGGACCAGCAGTTAGTATAACAGCTATGTCGCTGGACTCCCACGTAGTCGACCACGGTTCGAATCCCAGACCTGGTGGCTTAAACTCACGCCAGGAGCATGTGCTTGCATGCCCAAGAGGGAGAGGAGAATGGAGGAGAAGGGATTGTGGCATAGCCATACCCCCTGGTGGGGGGGAATGATTTCTCACTTTCTGTCTCTGTCTCTCTCTGTCTTTCTGGGGAATGCACACACCCTATAGCAAAAACCTCTCAAAAGAAACTTAGATAAAAAAAAAAAAAAAAACAACTTAGATCTTACACTAGACTACATGAGTCATGATGAAAGATGTATCATCATTGAGGCTACCTGTAAGTGCCTTAAACTTAGAATCTGACTTTTATACCCAGATGATAAGCACGATGTAATTACAGATAAATTATTATAAAAATATTAAAAATATTTTTAAAATCTTTTCAACCATGCTCAAACACCTGTGCAATTAAGAACAAAGAATTGACTAATATCAGAATATCACACATTGCAGGAAGTAAAAGAAACATAGTTTAAAGATTGAAGACTCAACATTGTAATAATTTTCACAATTGGGCACCTGAAAATTTGCTGTCATACAATTTATAAAATCAAACAATTATCAAAATAGAATGTGGTACTGTCAAATGTGAAACATGGGAAAATTATAAAATGTCATGCTTCCATTTTTCCAATATATAAGGAATAAATACGGTTTGAGTTTAAAAAAAATTACATTTAAAAAAAGAAAATTTTTTTTTTTTAAATCTCATAAATATTTTTTTGTCAAAGTTTTTACTTTAAAAGGACATAGATCGGGAACCAGCATTTAGGGTAATGGCTATGTCGCTGGACTCCCACGTGGTTCGCGTCCTGGACCCGGTGGCTTAAAACTCACGCCGGGTGCATGTGCGTGCGTACCCAAGATCCCGAGAAGAGAATGGAGGAGAAGGGATTGCGGCGTGGCCATCCCCCCTGGGGGGTGATTTCTCGCTTTCTGTCTCTTTGTCTCTCTCTTCTGTCTGTCTGGCGAGCACACGTGCCCTATAGCAGAAAAAAAAAAAAAGGACATAGATGGGAAACAAGGCAGATCCACAGAGACACATACACTATCAGACGTAGAAAGAGACAGGCCGTGTTTTGCTAAGTGAAGAATTCAATAACCCACAGATTTTTAATACTGCTATGCTATTGAATCTATAAGATATTTTAAATGTTTTTGAAATAATATTTACATTTTTTCCAAGAAAAATATACAGACCTTTTGAAGTAATTGTTTCTAGGATAGTTTCTGTTAAAAGATGTCCTTATGAGTAAGCTTGCGACACTGTTCAGAGCTAGTCCAGATGACTTTGAGGAGTCCTGCTATGTTGGTGAAGTTCAATTTCTTGATAGAAGAAGAAACGTGCTGTCTTTCTATTAAATAAACAGAATTTTAAAGTACATAAAATATTTAATAAAATCATGCAAACTAAAGGGAAACCTGGGTTGTAAGAACAGAACTGTAGCTATGTATGGGAGAGCCCGCTGCTTTGTAGAATTACGGTGGTGCTAGACGAACCTACTAGGAATCTTCCCTGACTACATGTTTCTCTTCTGAGATACCAGCGGAAGGGAAGTGACACATTAACAACATGGATTCTAAAAGTATCCTGCACAAACTCTGCCTGCGTGTGTTATCTATGAACACTTCTCTTAGTATATAAACTTGGGAGTTTAAATAATCATTTTCACTTAAAATATCTGAACCTTTATCTCATGTCTTGCATATAGTTTTTGCAGTTTCCTCAACTTCTACTACATAGTTCGGAATCTATACAAATCAAGAAGAGATCATTTCAGTCTTTGTCTTGACCGATATGCATGGTAATAGTGCTGAAAAAGAAATGTTACACACCGTAAAGATATATGTGATTAAATGTAATAAAAAAGAAGTATTAAAAACTCATACACACACAAGAGACCATTTCAGATTGGACCAAACAAACGTGTTTTACTGACTTCTACCAAGTTACACGACATTCTTAATTATTCCTTTTCTAGAGTATACTTGTGTCATAGCCCAAGTAACATATATTTCCAGGGACAGAGCCCTTGTTCGGAACCGTGAATATGGATCTTCCTTCTCCAGAATTTACACCACTCTCCTTCTCAATTATTTTCTATCCTCCTAATGAAAAAATCTGCTCCTGATTCAACATTTTCATGCCATAGAGTTATGTGTATGTTTATCTTCGTTTATTTCACAATCAATGTTTAAAATAGAGCTTACTACTCAAATCAGAACATATATAAACTTCTATAAATCTAATTTCGGAAATCTTTCCCAGGAAACGATCCCGCTTCTGGCCAGAGGTAGTCGCTCTCCCTTAGATGTCAGCTCTGGTTCATTAGGTCATCGTTGCCCTAAATTTCGTCTTGAGAGAAATCATGATGCTTAATTTAGGCTAACTTTGAACAGACGATTATTAGAAAAGTTATGTTTATGAAGATGTATGTGGTATTATCTTTAACTTGATTGATACGCACTGCATCCATGCTGGAAAAAGTCTGTTCACTATAAAAATGTACAGTGGTTAAAAGTAAATTTAAGAAATGTCAAAAATATATAATAATAATAATTTTAGATAATAAATAAGAAAGGCCTGACAGGTGTGGGAAGGACAAAGTAGTAGCATAGGCAAGACAGATTTGCCATTCCGTCCTCTCTGTGACAGCCAGGTGCAAGATGAAAGGGTCCATTAGAAGGCTAACGATTTACTATCTAACAGCCACAAATTCTGGAACTGAATAGAGTATCACAACTTCTAGGTTGTCAGAAAAATCATGACTTTTTTTTTTGTTTTTCTATGCAAATATGTCTCGACTTTTTCAACAACCCAATAGTTAGAAACAGAGAGGGTTTCATTTATGATAGTGTCTAATTCAAGGGTGAGGTCTGCCAGGTATAACTTGAACAGTTTTGTTGTTCTAGAATAGACTAGTTGTTCTAATTCTTTTTTTTTTTTTTTTTTCGCTATAGGGCACGTGCACGTGCACTCGCCAGATAGACAGAGAGAGACAGAGAGACAGAAAGTGAGAAATCACCCCCCAGGGGGGATGGCCACACCGCAATCCCTTCTCCTCCATTCTCCTCTCAGGATTTTGGGCACACACGCACACACACACCCGGTGTGATTTTTAAGCCACCGAGTCTGGGATGCGAACCACGGTCGACTACGTGGGAGTCCAGCGACATAGCCATTACGCTAACTGCTGGTCCCATAATTCTTGACTACACATTGAAACCACCTGGGGAAATCGTGAGAAAACCAATGTCCATGCCGTTTTAGGCTAATACAATCAGAAGATCAGAATCTCCCTGATGAAGTCTTTGGCATTTTCAGCGTTTTGTTTGTTTGTTTTGTTTTGTTTGTTTGTTTGTCTGTCTATTTTGCTATATGGCATGCACACTTACCAGAGAGAGACAGAGAAAGAGAAAATGAGAAATCACTCACCGAAGGGTGGCCACACCTCAATCACTTCTCTAGTCTCCTCCGGGGATTCAGGGCCTTTCACGCATATGCACCCAGCATGTTTTTTTTCAATCCACCTGGTTCAGGGCTTGAACCAAACAGATGACCATGTGGGATCAAGAACCTTAACCTCCACACCACCTGAGAAACAACATCATGAGTATTTTTAATAGTTTACATGATTCTGTTGCAGTGATTGGATGAAAGAGAATATATTGGTTTTTCCCTCTGCCCTGTTCTTCATTACTTCTTGAGAGCCTTACAGATCTCAGAATACCCTTTTGACTGCTCAAAAATTAGTAAAAAACAAGACATTAAAGAGACTATTTTCTAAAAAAAAAAAAAAAAAGACGTTTTTGTTGTTATTTGTTTTATTACTGAGATTTATAAAAGTTCTCTTTTCTATTAAGTTTTCTCTGTATTCAAGAGAAAAAGAAATAGGGAACCAACAGTTAGCGTAATGGCTATGTCACTGGACTCCCACGTAGTCGACCACGGTTCGTGTCCCGGACCCGGTGGCTTAAAACTCACGCTGGGCGCGTGTGCGTGCGTGCCCAAGATCCCGAGAGGAGAATGGAGGAGAAGGGATTGCGG